GCTTCGCAGCAGCCAGCGTGCTACGCTAGACTGGAGGTCGCGGCAGCGGCGTTTTGCAGCGCCTCTCTGGCCCAGCGATTACAAGTGGAGTTTGCGGTTGCAGGCGGGCGTTGGCTGCGCCAGAGAAAGCGCCCGGCCGGCGGCGGCCCCCGTGGAGAGCATCGAGATGGAAGAAAAGGTTGAGGAGTGCGAACAAAGGAAGGCTGAGCAGAGGCAGAATTGGGCGGATCCGGAAACCGCGCGGTGGCACCGGTGGCACTGCCTCGCTCATCCTAGATGTTGCCGATCCCTTCGCGCGTACTCCTCCTCCTCCTCCTCCTCCTCCCCCTCCTCCTCCTCCTCCTCCTACTCCTCCTCCTCCTCCTGAATGTTCTCCCAATTCTCTGCCTGGCGTCGTCCTCCTCGCCCTCGCGTTCGCCGCGTATCCTGCGGCCTCAGACTCGCTGCGCCCTCCTCGCCCTGTAGCCTATCCAGCCGCAGCTGGCGCCCAGTGGTCCGCGGCGCGGTGGGAGCGGAGACTCAGTGAGCAGCGGGCGCTCGGACGGGCACGCGCGTCGCGCGCGGCGCGCAGCCGCGTGCGCAGAAGCGCCAGCGTGCGCCTGCGTCTTGGCCAGGCAGAGCTGCGAGCAAACGCGCGCGCCGACCCCGTCGCCGGGCGCTGCGGCTCGGCGCGCGGCCCCGCCGCTGCGCGCCTGTCCGCCGGCCCGGGGCGCGGCAGACGTCGCGCCCCCAGAATTGTGGGCCTCGAGAGGAGAACAGAGCCCGGCAGAACACGACGCGGCGCAGGTCGACGAAGATGGCGAGGAGGAGTCAGGACACTGATAACAAAAATGTTGAACAAAGTCGAGATGCACGCGCAGATCGAGAACGCATTGGCCAGGAAAATCAGCCAATATTCACCGCGTCAGCCCAAACAGAGGATCGACGTGGCAAGTAACGCCATGCGATTCTGGATAAGACTGTTCGCACGTGCCGTGAAATACTTCGCCGGAGATCCTAATAGTGTCCTTCGGTTGCAAAACAATGCGCGAATTCCAAGGGGCGAGCGCGCCGCGCTCGGCCCTGGGCGGGCTCGGGGGCCTAGCGAGATGACAGCGCGGCCCGTCGGGAAGAAGGCCGAGGGCTCCGCGGAGCTCGACCCCTCGGATCGTCGGGCGCCAACTCAACTACGCGCGCAGACCGCAACGAGGCGCAGAGCGACAAGACGCGCCCTTGGCGACGGGGCGCCGAGCCGCTGAGTCGGCTGACGAGACCGCAATGGAGGCACTCCACCGCCGGGCGGCGGCCTGGCAGGAGACAGCGTGCCGGACAAATCAAGCGCCCGACCTGCAGCCAGTTGCACGCCGTCGGTTGATCGGGCCGAGCGGCGAATGCACGGCTGGAGGCGGTGCGCCGCGTGGTAGCACTGCCCGCGTCGTCTGGCGCGCGCCGTGACTGTTCCTATTCGCTGAAGCGGCAACGCGGCTGAGTAACGAGTAGGCGGAATGAGGTAGAGATGCAGGGGGAGGCTTGCGATCTGGTAAACTTGCGCACGGGCTGAAGTCGCATGCCGGCTGGCCCTGCCCGCGCGCGGTCTTTCTGTGGGCTGCGTCCCGCGCGACGCAGCCGGTTGTAGCCTGGGGGCGAGCAAGAGCCCCGAAAAGGTTGTTGGAGACTCTCCACGAGCCTGGCCATGCGCAAGTGCGCTCGGCGTGCCAGCCTGCGCGCGCGCGGGCGCACGGCCGGGCGCAACTGCGCCCTAGCACGCATAGAACGATGCGTTGATGGGCACGAGCGTGGCATGCCCTTGCATTTCTGCGCGCTCCGGCGCGCAGCTGAGCGCTCGACGCAAGGCGTGCGCGCGCGCGGGCGCGCTGCCACCGCCAGACGCGGACCACGCCCCAGCGCGCGTAGCGCGCGCGACGCCTGTGCGCGCCAGGGCGCAGCACACCGCGCTTCCGCAGCTGCATGACCAGGCATGGGCAATGCCCCGGGCTCGCCGAGCAGCAGATGGGCGCGCATAGGGAGCGCGCAGCGAGGCCTGCGCTGCCGCGCGCCGGCAATGCGCAGGGGCGCCCCCCCCAACAGCCAGTCCTGAGCGATGGGCAGTTGCCGCTGAAGGGATAACCGCGCGCGCCATTCTGTCCGAAGATGCAGTGGCGAAGGGTGCGCAGATTGCCGCCTAGTCGCGTGCCTAGACCGAATGGCGCAGCGCAGCGCGTGAACGTGATTTTGCGGCTGAAGGCTCAGCGTGCCTGAAGCTGCGCGCTCTGTAAATCGTGCGCTCGAGCGCCAGGGGGCGCCGCGTGCGCTGGGGCGCGGGGCAACTGCTCGCGTTGTCAAGTGAATGGCGCAACTGTTCGCCGATTGTCTGTCTGTCACATTCGATGCCGTTACCCTGTTGAGCATGTGAACGGGCGGCGCTTCAGTGGCGAGGCTGACAAACGGTCGCGGCCAGCGCCGCGCGCGGCTTAGCACGTGGACTGCGCCACTTCCCTATTCCTTGGGGAAGTGCGCGCGGCAAGGCTTCCAGGCAACGCGCGGCGCGACGGCAACATGCGCCGACGACGTGCCCGAACGCCTCTTCCCGGAGGAATGCTGGCGCAGGTGGCAGCGAGGTCCACGTCGAAGTCCGCGACGAGGACGGACCCGAAGAAGACGATGCGCCGCATCTCGAAGTTGCCGAACTGGTCGAAGAGGCGGACGAAACGAATCACCACATCTGAGCAATGGTCGTGGCGGGGCCGACGGGATGGCTGCATCTGGACGTCACGTCTGCAACTTTCGCCGGATGCGTGTCTGGCCCGCTGCGGCCCACAATCGGGACAAGCACATGCATCGGCGATTTCAGGTTGGTGATGACTGACTCGCTGCCTCCAGGCGCCAAGATGGAGATCCTCCTCGGGTGCCAAGATGGATATCATCCTCGATGGGACTCCGCCCACCACGATGTGGGCTGCGGAAGCGCCCAGGGGCTCGGGCCTGCGAGGGGCGAACACCATGCTGAAGTAGGCGTCAGCCGTAGTAGCGCTGCTGCCCTTGACTGGCGCCGATAGTGGTGAGACAGTGAGACAGGTGCAGTAGCGTTCGGTGCTCCACTCGGGTAGCGCAACGCGCTCGCAATGATACCCGGCACTGTCGCACACATCATGAAGCAAGGCACTAGCCAAGGGAGGAGCCTCGCAGTCATGCCCGACGCGAAAAGCTGCGGTCAGTGCCTGCGGGGAGCGATGGGTCGGGGAACGTGGTGGCGATCCCGTGGGCGAGTCGCTCCACATCGCGGTGGCGCCTGCAGCTGCTGTTGCCCTGAGCAGCTGGGCCCTCGCACGTCTCATGCGGCATGCGGCGTTTGTCGCGGCCGTCGTTTGTGAGCGCCCAAGGCGAATTACCGAATTACCACAACCACAGGCTGCTCGCGGGACAAAGGGCGCTAGCGTTGCAGAGATTGGGGGGAATCAGCATGTGCGTCCACGTCGCACTATGCGCAACCCCGTGGATCGCGAGATGGTATTGCTCCCAGCGTCGCTACCAACCAGAACTGCGGGTGGCAGTAGCGACACATGCAAGACATGACGGCACATGTAATTATATTGAGAAATAGCAGAACGGCGGTCCTTTTCCTCTCACTACTGTATCAGGTACGCTGGCCAGACGTGATCAATATGGCAGCGGGCCCCTCCCATTCGACTACGGACAAGGCGGAGGAGGAGGACGAGGAGGATCGCACGCCACTGACATGAAAGAGAGAGAGAGAGAGGGTCCGACGAGTCCAAATTGCCCCCAGGGAGCGCATCGGAGAGGTTTTTTTTTTTTTTTCTCCTGACACGCCGACAGGGGGGCAAACTCTGCCAGGGCCAACGACAGGGCCCCCCCTGGGAAAGAAAACTCGTCTACACCCTCCACTGGACTGGCAAGTCGTTGCCTTGCTGCTTGACGCGAAGCTTGCTGCCGATGTTCCGTACCTCCCTTTCTCTCAAGCCGAAAGCCAGGAGACAATCAGACAGGCACGAATCGTGCCGATTGAAAACCGCAGAGTAGGTTGCTCCTCCCCTTTCCAGGCTGAGCCCCAACACCGCTTTCCACGAACCTCCCCGCGAAGAGCCTTTGCACCTGGACCCCAGGAGTGCAAGTGAAGGGTCGGTTGGGATGCCTCAACCGGGGAATGCTGGACTTCTGCGGCCAGCCCCCACAAGGGCTACCTTCGACTCCACGCAAAGGCCTTGAAACCTCTGGCCCCTTGGAAGGTGCGATCACCACGCTTGGAACAAAACAGAAGCGGCTGGGCCTCGTCCGACAAAAAAGGAAACTGAAGCAGACAGTGTCCACCCTCTCTCCAGGGGGTCTCGCCAGGCTCGCCTTGCACCCTAGACATATCGTCCGCCTGCGGGGCAGACGACGAAGAGGCAGGCACGGACACAGGAGGGGGAGGCCAGGCATGATGAGCTGAAGACGCAGCAGCATCGGCAGCCTCCTCACGCCGAGCCGCCTGCAGGGCCTCATGCCAACCAGCATCTCCCTCAAGGGAAATCACGCTGAGGCCCTGAACTCCAACATTGTCGCTGCGGCCTTCGTCGCTGTAAAAAACCTCCGACCCGGTTGTGAATTTCAAAGGCCGGCGAACCAAATACCACATTCCTTTCGCCAACAAGGCATCCAGCGGATCGCGGCGACTGAGGGCGGCCCCCTGCTTTGCAAGGCGGTCCGGTTCGTGATTGTCCGCCCGCTCAAACCCTGACAACCGCCCCTCCCGCATACCCACCATCGAGGCTTGGGCCATCACCATTCTAAACGTGGCCCCTGGGAAGCCATCGTCCTTAAAAGTGTGGACCCGCAACTGTGCGCGGATGTTGGCGGCTCGGCAAGCATACACGCGCGATCACGGCTGTAGGAGGAGGAGGAGGAGGCGGAGGAGGAAGAGAAGCGAGCGAGGAAGAGTAGGAAGTGGAAGAGGAGGAGGAGGAGGAGGAGGAGAAGGAAGAGGAGGTGAAAGAGGAGGACTGGATAGGGGTAAAATGGGGCTCCGGGTGAGCCGCGCCGTCCTCCTCGGCCAGCGGCAGTACCACCTCGGGGCAGGATGCCATCCCCCACCACCACCTCCTCTGGCGTTGCTTGATGTGGGACTCATCGCCCCTTCTTCCATGCCGTGGAGAGATAGGGAGAGGGGGGGGGTGCCAGGCGATAAACCCAACCTTCTCGCTTGGGCAGCCCCGCGCATGCCCGCGCGCACTAATACTGCGCACCCCCTTCAGGCCTGCGCAACCGACAGGGTCAGGTTATCAGGGGGGGAGGTGGGGCGGGCGGGCTGGATCCTGGATGCTCGCCAGACCCTGAAAACAGCAGCCTCGTGATGTCGAGTGGATAAGCCAGGGTAGGAAGAGGAGGAGGAGGAGGAGGAGGAGGAGGAGGAGGAGAAGGAGGAGGAGGAGGAAAAGGTGGAGGAGACGGAGGAGGAGGGGGAGGAGGACAAGGAGGAGGAGAAGCAGGAGGAGGAGCAGGAGGAGAAGGTGGAGGAGAAGGAGGAGGAGGGAGGAGGAGGAGGTGGAGGAGAGGAAGAAGAGAGAGGAGGAGGAGGAGGAGGAGGGAGGAGGAGGAGGAGTTGGGGGAGGAGGAGGAGGAGGGGAGGAGGATGGAGGAGGAGGAGGAGGAGGAGGAGGAGGAGGAGGAGGAGGAGGAGGAGGAGGAGGAGGAGGAGGAAGGGGAGCAGGAGGACGAGGGGGAGGAGGAGCAGGTGCAGGAGGAGGAGGAGGAGGAGCCCCCATGAAGATCGGAGCGGGCACCGAAACGGGCCGACTCGGCTCGGACTCCAAACGCATCGGATCGGCTGCACTCAGGCACGCAACTGCGCTGTGCAAGCAGCTTTCCCAAGAACAATTGCATCGGATCAATTCGAGCAGGGTACACTCTACTACCGTCGGGGCGTTGACTTAAGGAACTCTAGATCAGGAACAAGGTTCTTTTTCAATAAGTTACACTTCGCTTTCCTCTTCAACTTTACGACTTCAGCGCCCCGACTTACATTTCGACATCCAAGGGTTCCGTCTTCGGCGCCCCGAATCTGCATCCGTTCGGATCAATCGAATCGACATGCGCCCCGGGCATGTCCAAAGCCAGGACAACTCCTTCATTCTCCCCTCGAGGCCTGGCAGACGCGGTCTCTGATCAAACAGGAAGCAAGTCTTTGACGCGTCCAACAAAACTGCAGCCCTGGGTCGAAACATGTTCCATCCTTAGTTCCCTCCCGCTTGATGCGGCACATTGACAACGAGTCGGCGACACATGCCGCGCGTTCCCAAGCAGGGCGTGGGCCCCAGGCCCCGAGTGGCGATGAAGGCGCGATTGGTGGGCATTGTGTAACCGATCCCTATCCCCTATCCGCATTGGCGCACTGGCCGATTTACCCCCCTATATGGGGAGGTAGGCTGTCCCCTTCGAGCTTCGAGGGGCCGATCCCCAACCAGGGTGGTGAGACGGTAGAGTTGAGACGCCATGGCCCGATGCGGATGGGGATGGGTCTGCTCAGAGTCTATCGCCTCACAGACGGGTACATGTTGACTGGGCTATTCGAGACAGACCCAGCCGTGGCGACGACGGGCTGCCAAGAGGCCCAGGAAACAGAACAGAAAAAGACGAAGAACGGCACGGAGGGCTATGGCGCTGCCTCGGCTGGCCCCCCCTGAGCCCGTGCTAGAGGAAAGATAACTATGCACATACACCGATTCTGGCCAGGCCCATCCTGAGCCCAGGATCGGAACATACGCCCTCCTCCTACCTTGGCCAGGAGGGCATATGCACCGATCCTGGGTCAAGGATGGACGTTGTCAGGATCGGTGCATGTGCATAGTTCTCTTCGCCCGACGTCCTCCCCCCCGCCTTTCGCTCCCCCCCCCTTACGTCGGCGCCGCCGAGCCTGGGGCCACGAGGTCCACGAGCACGGGGGTCGATTGTCGCGCCGAGACCCGGGCCCCACGATATGGGGAGGGCACTGGCACTCGACGCCTGGTGGGAGCATGTGCTTGCGCTCGGGAGGGCGGGGGGGCACGCCGATCGGGTCGACGGGCCCGATGGCCTGAAATTGAAAGACGCCATCGGAAGGGGCACATGACTCAGGATGAGTGCCCAGCAGCAGCCGACGCCTCACAACATCTGGAGGGTGAGGAGGAGGAGGAGGAGGAGGAGGAGGAGGCGGGGGAGGAGCGACGAGGAGCGAGGAGGGGGGGTGCAAGGACCCAAAGATCCTGGACGCGGCTGGCAAGAGCACGACGGGGGGCGGAGGAGAGATCACCCATCCCGAGGCGGAAGACGTGATGCCAGGCCTGCGGTGCGGCAGCTGGGTGAGCCGGGCACGGGCGGCCGCGACGATCCGGCCTCCGTCGAGGCCCCTCTGCAGCTGAGGACGAGGGAGACGAAGCGCCCCCACCCCCCTTGGCGCGCCGAAGCCCTCCCACCCCGTGACTCAAAAAAGGAAAAGGGTACCCCTGCCTCTACCCTTCGCCCGTTTCCCCCCTTTTGGGGCCTCCTGGGAAGCCCTCGTCGCCACCGCAAGATTCGCACCGAATTCCTGGTCAGAACGCACCCCGGGAGAGGTCTGGGGAGTAGCGGCATCGGTACCTTTTGATTTCCCCCAATAACAGAGGCGGATCAGCCAGCGACAGGCATGAGCCTTCGCAGAGCACGAGACTGCCCGACAACCGCCCGAAGTCTGTCAGGGGGATGAGCTTATAAGAAACGGTCGAGGGCAGAGGAAAAGGCCCAGACATGCTACAGTGGAGGCTCATGCTAAGAAACACCGTGCTTGCCTCCAGGATGCGCTGAGTTTCTTGGGGTTCGATGGTTCTGCTGTCGGAGGCGTGACGCTCCCACACCAAAAATCAACGGACGTCCTGTGGTCTCAGGGTTGGGTTTCTCGTGGAGTGTTTCTTGTGGACGGGCCCCTACTGTGCCTTGATTATTTCGGAACGGGGTCCTCGAAGTCCCGACACTTTCCCCATGCAGGGCAAATTTTGCACCCCGAGTTGTTTCTTGACGGTCCCGGGGCCCGGCGAAGTGGAGGCCAGACGCCGTCCCAATCCTCTGACCGTGGCTGTTGCACCACGCGAGCACGTCTCCCAGGCATGTGACGTCCAAGTGCTGTCCAAACGGTGGGAAGTCCCGATCTCTCCCCGGGACCTTTTATTTTCCTGAGTCGTTGTTTGACGGCTCCAGTGCCTGGAGAGGGACCCCAGGAGCCGAAACCAGCAAAAAAACCTCCTGCCTGAGTTTTGCACGACGCCGACATGTCTGGGCTGGGAGGACAAAATTCAAGGGGCCCTGGGACACACAAATCCGCCGACCCTGTCGGAGCGTGGAAGACGCATCCCGGTGTCGTCGTCTTGCGTGGATCACCGTCATCGTCGTCGTCGTCGCCGCCCGAAATACAAAGAAATCGAACACGAAACATAAGGAAATCGTAGTCGTGGCGAAGCCCCTCCCTACCCTCCCCACCAGGGAGGGGGGGGGGGGATGGGGCAGATACGCATCCCCCCAGGCGACCCTCCCATCCCTCTCCCCTCCCCCTCCCCCTCCCCCTCCCCCTCCCCCTCCCCCTCCCCCTCCTCCTCCTCCTCCTCCTCCTCCTCCTCCTCCTCCTCCTCCTCCTCCTCCACCTCCTCCTCCTCCTCCTCCTCCTCCTCCTCCTCCTCCTCCTCCTCCTCTCCTCCCTCCTCCTCCTCCTCCTCCTCTCCTCCTCCTCCTCCTCCTCCTCCCTCCTCCTCCTCCTCCGCCTCCTCCTCCTCCCTCCTCCTCCTCCTCCTCCTCCTCCTCCTCTCCCCTCCTCCTCCTCCCTCCTCCTCCTCCTCCTCTCTCCTCCTCCTCCTCCTCCTCCTCCTCCCCTCCTCCTCCTCCTCCTTCCTCCTCCTCCTCCTCCTCCTCCTCCTCCTCCTCCTCCTCCTCCTCCTCCTCCTCCTCCTCCTCCTCCTCCTCCTCCTCCTCCTCCTCCTCCTCCTCCTCCTCCTCCTCCTCCTCCTCCTCCTCCTCCTCCTCCTCCTCCTCCCCTTCCTCCTCCTGCTCCTCTTCCTCCTCCTTCGCCTCCTCCTCCGCCACGTCTCCATTTACCTCCGACGTCTTATCACGCATCCCGTCACCCTCGAGGGCCGAGGTATCCAGGGTCGGCGGCACTGGCCGTAAGGCCTTAGCAATAAATAGACACAAATACCAGGATTCCCCAGATTTCCTCATATTTTCTGGGTTTTCGTCTCCCCCCCACTTCCCATATGCTTCCATATTCTCTGGGGAATCGACGATTAATTGTGTCTGTGTGTTTCTTCCCCGCCTGAAAAATGTCCTGTGGGGCCTCGTTGAGGCCCGGCGGCCGCTGCGCTGCGTTTCCCAATAAGGCCCGGGCCACCCGCGCGGAGGCGTCCGCCCCCGCCGACAGGAGCTGCAGCGCGAAGTCGCAGTCCAAGCGCCTGCGGCCGGCGGCCAGATCACTCCCGCAGCTCAGCCCTGCCTGTCCAGACCCCTCGAGTCATGAGAAAAATCACGACGCAAAGCATCTCGCTATGTTCGGCCCCTGGGGGCCCTTGCTGGGCCCTGGGACCGTCCAAAAACGGCTCGGGATAAAAAAACGGTCCCGGGGAATAGGTCGAGACCTCTGGGGGTCGACGTCATGGAAATATCATGACGTCGGGGGTCCGGGGAAATTCCTGGTAAGGTCCTCAGGGCGAAGACAGGATTACTATGATGTGTTGTAAACTGGCGGATCGCTAGGTGATGCGCAGGTCTCTCACGAGATCAGAGAACCCATTCCGATTCCGATTCCCTCCTTCCATACCTCTCCGCCCTACCTGCTTTCTCCCGGCTCCCCTCCCTCCCTCTATCCTTGCCTCCCTCTCATCCTGCCCCCTCCTCCTCCCATGCCTAGTTGCCCTCCTTCCCTCCCTGCCTCTGCTTATTCCCTCCCTCCTGCCTTCTCCCCTCTCCCTCCCAAACAACTCCGTTCAACCTCCCTCCTCTTTGGAAACTCCATTCCCCTTCCTCCTTTCTGGCGCCCAAAATGTGTACCAAAAATGGTTAGGATGCCCAACAGCGAACGTTGTCCAAAATCGGCACCGGCCGCAGTTGGGCAGGCGAATCTGTGTCTCAAGCGGACAGCGACCACGGCGACGCCGATAGCAAATCCTGTTCAGAACGGACAAGCTCTGCTGTTGGCCTCTGCGGGCGTTGTTTCCGTACTCATCTCGGCCCCCTGGTCCTCCCGCCTTCCTGCTGCCGAGTAGTCGACTGCCCAGGCCCGCGGAAGGCTCAGGGAGGCTGACGAACGAGGCCGCCGAGTCCATCGTCAACCATGGTGGCCCGCTTCGTGCCGCGCGACCAGATTCGCGCCTCCCGCCGAAGGTCCCCTCCGAAACAAAGATCAGATGGAAATGAGCTCCGCCGACCCTGTCCGCGTGTGTGATAGGATGCTCCGTTTGAGTCGTCGTCGTCGTCGTCGTCGTCGCTGTCGCCGCTCCCCTCCTTCCCCTGAGCCCTCCTCCTTGAGCGCCCCAACTCGAGGGAAATCGAGCAACGCCGTCATCGAGCCGAAGGGGAGCCCCTTCCCTTGGATCCCCTCCCTCCTCCCTTCCTCCTCATCAAGCAGTTGATTACCCCACCGCAGAGGATCCAGAGTGGCAGCAACTCCTCCTCCTCCTCCTCCTCCTGATCCTCCTCCTGCTTCCGTAGCCATTTTGGCTCAAGGCCAAGATGGTGCTTCGACAACTGCCTCCGCGGGGTAGACTCCCTCAGTTCCCAGTGCTTTTCGTGCTTGCAGCTACCACCAGCGGCGAGCTGCCGCGTACTTCCATAGCTGCAGCCACCCACACGGGCGAACTGCCGCCCTGTCTTCCTTTCTGGTGCCACGGTGTCGGTCTGGAAGGAAGATGGGTCCCAAACCGTTCGGACACTGATCGCCTGGCCCTCGGTCTCCGCAACCTCGATGTCAGCGTGCTGGGTACGCTTACGAGTACACGATATGCAAGCAGTGCCGGTACGGTTGAACGTGGAAGGGCGAAGGCGAATGTTTCTCCTGTGGCAAGCTCTTCGCCCCGTCCCCACCTGAGCATCGGCAGCCCGAAGGTGCGTGGGCGGCCGGGCCACGGCGCGCCCGATCGCCGCCAGCAAAGAAGGACCTGGCCCCCAAGCCCCAATCGAAGGACAGCATCCTCGACGCCCTCACCTCGCTCCTCGCAGAGGACGAGAAGCATGAGGGACTGGTTGGCCAATCAAACAAGCACTACAATAACCAGAGCAGCCACCACCAACGCGCATCGCAGAGCAAGCGCCCCAGTCGGCCCTATCCGTCCTCGCGAACCGCGAGCGCAAGTGCCACCATACCGTGGGCGACGTCGAGGAGGCGCAGCGGTGGCTCGACGCCGCGAAGGAGCGCCAGGAGCAACCTGCACTCGAGCTGGTCAAGGCTAAGCGCGCTTGCGAGCAAGCGCAGGAGGAATAATGCCGTAAACTGGGAGGAGATGCGGCGCCTCGCGAACCGCAGCCAGCCTCCGAGCTCTTCCATCGGCACCTCGATATGGGAGGTCCTCGGGAAGTACGGCGACACCACCAGGATACATATGTCGCAGTGAAAGAAGGACCTGGATGACGGCATCAGGGCCCTCAACGAAGGTCAGGACTACGTTCGCGACATCATCCGCAAGGCCAAGGAGTCCTCCGAGAACCCCGCCAAGAGCCTGACGAACTTCCGCCCCTCAGCAGCAACCTGGCGCTGCCGCTGGCGCAGCCCCCGCCGCTCCTCCAGCCGAAGCCGCTGCGGGGGCACCTGCCGCCAGCACTTGGCCCAGCCCACCTGGGGAACCAGCCGCCGAACCCGCAGTCGCGGAGCCCTCCGCCGCCGATCGAGAAGCTGCCGCTGCCCTCATCGCGGACTCTGTCGCCGCGGCCAAACAGACGGCCACCGCGGCGGCCGGGGGCAAGGGCAAGGCCGCAGGCGCGGACGCACCTGCGGGCTTACAATGCGGGCGGCCCTGCTAGGCCACGGACGGGCGACGAGGACGGCGTAGAGGACTCCAGCAGCAAGGCGCAGATCCTCTTCGGCAACATCACGGTGCGGAGCCCGCAGGCGGCGAACTACTGCCGCACCGTCGGCTATCAGTGCCGCACCATCGCGCTCGCGGAGACGCACGTGGATGCCAGGGGCCTCAGCGAGCTGCACGGGAAGCTCGCCATGGGCGGCTGGAAGCCAGCTGCCACCCCAGCCCTATCGACGCATAAATCCGACATGGGCACCCGCGGAGGCGAGTGGATACTCGCCAGGCGCGACGTGGCGGCCACTACCTTTGAGGGCTACAGGAAGCTACCTCGAGACCCACAAGCGCCAGCCCTTCGTGGGACTCGCCCCTGCCATCTTGCACGCCAAGAGCGGCAACGTCGTTATCGTCGCTGCCTACCTTCGGCCTGGCCTCCGTGGCGAGGGCGCCAACAGGGACGTCCTCATGTCGGTCTCCACGTTCGTAGACATGCTCGCTGACCCCTGGATCATTCTGGCCGAC